AGGCCCGGGGTGGGGGCTCGTGGGCGAGCGCCTGGTGGCCGGGTCTCTGCCCACGGGACCCGGCCAGGCCCAGCCCGAAAAAGCGACGTGGGCCCACTTTCCAGTAGGCTTACCAGCCGCAGGAAGGTCCACAAGGGGACGGTGCCATGCGATTTGGGTGGTGGTCGTGGGTGAGGACCCCAGCGGCTCAATCCTTGGACAACTACTCTGGCTATGGGGACATGGAATGTCACCTCACTGGGGGAAAAGAGCCTGAGCTTGTGTGGGAGGTTGAGCGATACCGACTAGATATAGTCGGGCTCACCTTCACTCACAGCCTGGGCTCTAGGACCCAACTCCTTGAGAGATGCTGGACTCTCTTCTACTCTGAAGTTGCTTGCGGTGAGAGGTGGCGTGCTGGTGTAGGCTTGCTTATAGCTCCCCAGCTCGCCAGTCATGTGTTGGAGTTCTCCCCACTGAGCGAGAGGGTCAGGGATAGGTGTCTCACTGTTGTTTCGGCCTACGGGCCTAATAGCAGTGTAGAATACCCGGCCTTCTTGCAGACACTGGGAGGGGTACTGGAAAGTGCTCCTCCCGGGGATTCCATTGTCCTGTTGGGGGACTTCAACGCTCACGTGGGCAGCGACAGTGACACCTGGAGGGGCGTGTTCGGGAGGAACGGCCTTCCCAATCTGAATCAGAGTGGTGTTTTGTTATTGGACTTCTGTGCTAGGCACGATTTGTCCATAACGTAATCCATGTTCAAACATAAGTGTCCATCAGTGCACTTGGCACCAGGACACCCTAGGCCGGAGGTCAATGATCGACTTTGTAGTTGTGGCATCTGACATTCGGCTGTATGTATTGGACACTCGGGTGAAGAGAGGGGCTGAGCTGTCAACTGATCACCACCTGGTGGTGAGTTGGCTCCGCTTACGGGGGGCGAAGCTGGACAGACCTGGCAGACCCAAACGTATCGTAAGGGTCTGTTGGGAACATCTGGCGGAATCCCCGGTGAGGGTGGCCTTCAACTCCCACCTCTGGGAGAGCTTGAACAGGTCCCGGGTGTCATGTCTGTTTCCTTTTCCTGCTGTGTGGGGTAATCTTTCTGCTCACACTCACCTGTCTGTAATTAGCTTCACTTGTGTCACCTGGTGCTCCCTGTGTATATATATACCTCTCTCCCTCACTCTGCCCTTGTTGGATTGTTGTGATTGAGATTGGTTCGGTGTGTATCCTTTGTGCCAGCGTTGTGTCAAGCTTATGTTGTAGCTGTTCCTAGTTTGTTCCTGAGCAAGTCTGTTGCTGTGCTCAACTCTGTTCATGTTCTCAGCTCTGCTCGACTTTGCCTATGTTTCTGTCCTGGCTTTTGGAATTTAGAATCTTCAAATA